AATCAGATTAGTAGAGTTAAGAGGAAAATTAGTAATTTGTTAAAAACGAGGACCGATCTTGGTGATTAATTCATTATACAGATAAAGTTTCACAAAACTTGTAGAATAAATAATACTACTGCTGAAAGAATTAATACGAGAACAGTATTTTTGATACGAAAACAAAGTTCGCTAACTTTAAATTTGAAAGTTTATTATGTCGAATATTTCCTTTGTCTTCTGTTGATAAGATTTCATTCCGATTCGAGACAAACACCTTGCAAGATGTCATAAATATGATTATCTTTTAATATATTATTGTCCCTTCAGAGGACACGTTAGAGCCTCAGATGGAAAGATAATTTTAAGAAACTACAAACATTCAACACATTACTTGAATTTAAATATAGCGACACTCGAGAAATGAGTAAACTTGAAGTTTATGTCAATAATGGGTTTTCCTTAACTCGAGATAACTTATCAGCACTGATGAATCGTTCAAACACCATAATTCTGAGTAATCTGATACCACAAATCTCTCATTTAGTGATAACAATCTACTTAAGTTGACTTTCCCCTTTCATCGTCCACGCCCTGTTCCACCAGCTAGTTCAAAGGATCTTGAACATTGCATGGATTTTAAAGGCGAGAAATATATGACATAATCACTAAACTCTCAGTTATAGTGTCAAATCTAAGTTGACTTCCAAAGAGGCCATTTCACTCAAGAAATTCAAACAGGGAAATGACCTTATAACTAAAGTTCCTGATAAGTGGAGTGGGTTTATTGTTATAACCTTTAAAATCCCACCACAGTATATCCCTGGATTTCGTGACTTCCTGAAGAACCACAGACTCAGAATACCGCTAGAACCTATTGCATCAACTGTTAGTTCTCTTACTGAAGGTTTGGTGGCTAGAGCGCTCGATCGCAATCTGCAGATCGTGGACTCGCAATTCGTTGACGAACATGCATGCCATTTTAGCCATAAAGGCGTTATAATGTTACAGACAGTCCCAGGCATTCATTATAAAGAGTATCCCAAGAGTTGGCAGCGAGGGGTGTTGGCTGGCTCCTTTCTCTCTAAGGCTATCACTTCAAAATTAAGGACGGCTAGCGCAAACAGCCCTCAAATAGCTTTGCGCGAAAATTCAACAAACAAACAAACAATATTACAGAAAATATACCTTGGTTATTGCAATATATATATATATATATATCCATCCTCTATTACAGTTTTTTTTTCTTCTCATCTAACTGAT